GAGAGAGAGAGAGAGACACCCAAGAGGGCAGAGACGGGGAGGGAAGTGCCATGTCAGACCCTAATACCCTTGCCTTTCCCAGATAGGGGTGGAATTGAAGAAGGTTGCTGCTGTGTTGATACAGGAAAGGGTGGGGATGGCTGGGGACGCCATGGTCTCCTTGGGTCCTGTACCTTGTAGTAGAGAGGGCTGAGGTGCCGGAAGCAGCCAAAGCAGGTATACGCCAGGCAGACCACGATGGTGAGCAGCACAGCCAGGAGGGTGAACAGGGTGGCAGGGGCCTGCAGACCTGGGGAGAGATGCTGGCCCAGGTTAGAAGGCTGCATGGTGTGGGAGTAAGCCCTCCTCCCTGGCCCTGCAGCCCAGCCTCATCTAGCAGCCAGGACAGAGACCCTACAGCCAGAAGCAGAGATGACCCACAAGTCTCCTGCCCTTTGCTTTTTCCTAGGGTGTCTCTGTCCCTCTGGCTCCATAATCCCCTCCACACTGTGGACAGTGAGGTCTAGGACCAGGCGGCACTGAAGAGCAGTCTGGGACAGCTTCCCCTCTCCTCCGGCTCAGCCCCTTGGAGCTGGCTTCAGCCTGGCATGTCTGTGCAGGACCATCTGGGGTGCTGGGTCAGATACCCACACCCAGCCTTCATTGGGTGGCACGGTCTGATCAGACACCAAGTTAGTACTTGACTGGCCAGCATGGTTGGATGCAGGACCATGAGGCAGAAGGCTGGCCCAGGTCAGAGAGGGCACTCACCCAGGCGCAGAAAGGAGAAAAAGAAGAGCCAGAAGAGGCAGAGGATGGGCGCAGCCAAGGCCTGGTTCACGGCAGCGAAGTGCAGCCTCTTCTCCAGCTTGGCCGGGAGATAGACAAAGTAGAGGTTGTGCCGGTCCACCATGTGCTTGAGCAGGATGTAGATGAGGCCTGTGAAGGTGGGCCATGAGTGGGTGGCTGCCCGGCCACGGCTCCAGGACCCCTTCCCCGGGGTGGGGGTAGCTAGTCTATGCGGAGTTAAGGTGGAGTGCTGAACAAAGTCTGAGGCAGAAATTGGGCAAAAGCATGTCCTGGCTGCTAGCTTGTTCTCCCTCCCTCCTCACCTCCCTCCTCACTTCTGTCTGCCCCTGAGGGAATGGGGGCCCTTGTGATGGTGGGTGAGGCATGAGCAATGGCAAGACGGTGCTGGCACCGGGTCCAAGCTCTCAGGCTGGGGCTGGTGGAGCTCAGTGGAAGAGGCATGCTGAGCATGTGTGAAGCACTCAGGTTGATCCCTAGCACACACACATAAAGCCAAGCGTGACAGTGACAGGGTCAGGACGAAGAGAAGGCCACACAGAAGTACTAAGGGAGGTCGCACTGGGAACGCGGCAGGCAGAATTCATTCAGACATGAGGTGAGGTTTGGTGCCATGTGCTTCCCTGGCAGCAGCGGTCCCAGTGGCCACAAGAGAACCACTGAGCTGGGACTCCCTGCCGCCATGAAGGCTGTCCCTGGAGGGCTGGTGGAAGCAGCTGTCCACGTGTGTGGGCACGGTGGCCACTCACCGAACGGCACGATAATGGGGCAGGTGATGCTGTAGGCCATGATGACTGTGAAGACGCATAGCATCCAGGCGTACATGGCTCCAAACTCGAACTCGTAGGCCTGGTTCTGGGAGCAGGAGGTTGGGAGGAGCTCATGAGGCAGGAGACCCTTGGGGCTACCTACTGCAGGAGGAACTGGGGCCCTTGCCCAGCCTGTGGCAGCTTCTCAGACTGTGCCTTCGGGGCACAAGGAGGCAGCAGATGCCCAGGCCTCTAGTGAAGGGGTTAGACTGCATGGAGAGGCCACCAGAAAGGGACACTGTGCACACCCAGGTCTCCAAGACACAGGGATTGCGGTCCGCGGTCATGAGGCAGAGTTGGCCTAAAGAGAGCTGTGGAGTGATTCCCGGACTTGGCACGAGACCAACACAAGCCCAGCCCCTTCTGGCCAAGCTCGTCTGGATCAGGTTGGGCCTCTGCAAAACAGAGACACTAACACTGCTGGTCTCACACGGGGACCATGATGATGAAACAGAATATACTTGACCCTCTCACAGCACCCACCAAGGCAGAGGGAGTAGGAGAAGCCCCCACACCACCTAATTTAGGGAGTGCTGGCACAAATGCTACAAATGCAAAATGCCTTTGATACCTGGGCTCTGCTAAGAACACGAGCAAAATAGATGCCCAAGAAAAAGGCAGTCGTGGGCTGTGCTCTCAACCCCACCCTGCCCGTTCTTTGTGCTGGGGATGGAACCCAGGGCCTGGAGCTTCCTAAGCAGTGCTGTACCAGAGAGTGCCAGCTGGGGCCCAGGAACCTGGGGACTTTGGGTGTATGGACGGATGGATGCAGCCAAAGTGGTCACAGTGGAGAGAGCCTCGAGCTTTCTCCTCCAGCTCTGAATTAAGGACCCATGTTGTAGAGAAGCTCCTAGCAGAGGGGACCCTGGCCCAGGTGTGAGAAGCAGGGGTGGGCAAAACCTGAGCCAGGTAGAAGTGAGAGCCCTGGGGGGGTCAGAGGGAGTCAGAGGAGCCACCTGCTTGATGTTCCTGCGGTCAGCAGCTGTCCTGGCCATGACCATGCGGAAGGTGTAGAGGATGAGGCCCGGCAGTCGCAGCAGCTCCATGCCACTGCCGATGAAAGCTGAGGCGATCACGTAGTTCACGAAGAAGGCTCCCTGGTCCGGCAGGAAGACACACCTGGGGACAGGGCCGGTATGTGAGCCGGGAGCCTCTTTCCCACTGAAGGGAGGCAGGCACCTGAAGCACTCTGCCATCACACGTGATCTGAGGCACACAGACACACACTGTGCCTGGCCACAGAGGAACTCCACAGTGGGGGATGCTCACAGGAGGAGCCCTTCTCATACGGTGACTGTAGGGATGGAGAGAGGAGGCTTCTGGTACCCGGAGGAAGTGGGTGCAGACTGCAGCACATCTGAGGAGCGGTGTGTCCAGCTCTTCCACACTGGGGCAGGCGGGGAAGGAGGCACTGGGTGTGAAAGGTTGGGGAAGGCCCTCCAGGTGCTGGGAGCCACCCTGAAGTGAGGTGTGAGGAGCAGGGAGGCCATGCTGATGGCTTCATGCTGGCCTGAGTTTCCCAGGCAGAGGTTTGGGGGAGGTGGAGAGGTGCGGACAGAGTCCAGACAACCTCAGAAACAGCCTGGGTTCTGTTGAGAGATGGGGTGTGGCATGGAGAGGAAAGGAAGAAGACTCTGAATTGCACATTTCTCTGCAGAGCAACTATAATCATTGTGGAAAGAAACTTAATAGGAGTGCCTGACCTGGGCATAAGGGGAACATCCTCCCTGTAGGGAGGGAATATCTGCCATGCTTGGCAGAGAAAGGGCGTTTTGCAGGTGCAGGTAGGGTCAGAGAAGTAGATAGAGTCTGTATGTTTGGGTGCTGGCATCCACCTCAGGCTTGGCACACAATAAGCGTGGGCTCTGCCACGGTGCTGTTCTTCAGGCTCCTTGTTGGTATATTTTAATGAGGTAGCTGAGTGGTTCTGGAATCCTTGATTTGCTGAGTATCCTGAGTGGCAGCAATTTCTAGAGATGGGAGATTGGATGGACTCCCAGGGAGGCTTGGACAGGCATCCCTGGGTAGAGGCATCTAGTGGGCAGATCCATATGAGTTTGGTAGATCACAAAATGAGGTCAGGAACTGACCCCTGGATCTGGTGATCTGAATGTCACCACCAATGGGGATTAGCTGGTTGGGTAAGTGTGGGTCAGGGTGTGACTGCCAGCTCTCTGGTCATTGGCCGATCCAGCAACAAATCACTTAAAATAATCTGACTGTCCTCATAGTCAGCAAGCCAGCCTGCCCTGTAACCTCAGCTTTGGAAAGTCAGTCCAGACTTCTGACCTCTTTGAAGGCTGGGTTGAATCCCAGCCTCTGCTTCTTAAGTAGCTGGGTAACCTCGGATGACATCATCATCTTGGAACTTTTCTCATTATATGTAAATAAATATGCTATCATTGGTCACCTGATAGCCTGTTGGAGAGAAAGAGAGAGAGAGGAGAGAGAGAGAGAGAGACAGAGAGAGAGAGAGAGAGAGAGAGAGAGAGAGAGTAGGAGAGGAACCATTTAGCATAGTGCCCTTCAACAATTGCTGCTCTATGATGTGGCATGGTATAACTTTACAACACTAGGAAGGACTCACAGTAACCTTATGTTTAACTCCATTCTCATGATAAAAATAATCCTCAGACCAGACAGTCACTCTGCTGCTGTGTTTAATGACTCTTCTTTCTGGCTACCTGGTACCCCAGAGTCCCAGGAGTCTCTGAGCTGCTCTGGTAAGTTTCAAAGAGTGACAGTCAGTGCCACTACTTGAGCTTTGGCTTAAAAAATGAACAGCACAACATGGCCAGATCTACTATGCATCACAGGAGTGTGGGGTTGGGCAGCCCTGGTCACTCCCGTTTAGGGGAGGAAGTCTGGTTCGAAACACAGGCCATTACCTGCCTGGTCTCCAGCCCTAGGCTAAGGCCCATGGAGTGTGCCCAGGACCTCAGCTCCAGGACCTGACTTGGCTGATACTTACTCCAACCTTATAGAGCCCGCCGAGGAAGTGTTGTCAAAGAGCCACCGGAAGAAAAAATCCAGGCTGAAAAGCAAGTGAATCCTCTTAAGAGTTTATTTGGCTCCTCTCTCTCTTCCTGGACATTCTCCCTGCCTTCCTTCCTTTCATGATGCTAGGGAAGGAACCCAGAGAACAAGTTCTCTGACATTGCACTCTGATCCCAACCTCAAATAATTTCTTTTCTTTTCTTTTTTCTTTTTTTGTACAGGGGATTGAACTCGGGTCCTTGCGCTTGTAAGGCAGGCCACCAAACCTCTGAGCTAAATCCCCAGCCCCTCAAAGAATCTATTTCTAATACTACATGTGATCAGAACATATTTGTTATGGGATCAGAAATCATTTCCATTTTGTTCCACTATAAAAAGAGGCTGAATATAAAAATCTGCCACTGTTTTCTCTGATGCCACTTGCACAATGTGACTCACCAGGTGGCTTTCAGGGAAACACCTCTTCTTGAGACAGACACAGTTATGATTAGAACAAAGTGTATATGGGGGGTACTCGATAAGCTTGTTTGAAAGCTCCCCCTATGCCCTCAGAACATCACGTTTCCAGGACAAGCAATGGACCGGCACAGTCGCACTCCACCTGGTTACTACAGGCTCAAAAGTTGTTTGGGATTTCCATCTGGTCCAGACCATTTCCATTCCCAAGGTAGCAGTGTTCTGCAGGTGTGGGCCGGATTCTGAACTTAGGACAGGAGATGGAGGGTATACCTGGTGAGGCCAAGGGAGGGCAGGATCAGCACCATGAAGATCAAGAATATGTAGACCTTGGTCATCATGTTCCAGTTTTCCCCCGACCTGCAGGAAGCCAGAGGGGAGCACTCATCCACGGTCCCAAATGCTTCAGGTGCCTCCGTGGGGCCTGCCTTGCACCCAGTGCCCCAGCTAGAGTCCAGGGTCCTCCACTGGGAGACCTCGAGGCTCAGCACTCACTTGGTCCAGTGAGACTCCAGCAGCGTTGAGTAGTAGACTATGGTGGGGAGCAGGGCCGAGAAGGACCAGAGGAGGAGGGTTGGGAAGAACTGGCTGATGACTGGGTTCTGGAAGACAAGGCCCAGTGGAGAGAGTGGGAGGGTCTGTGGACCACAGGGCCGAGGCCATGGCCGATTGGCCCAGGGCTCCAGGGTAGGTTCTGGTCTTCCTCCAGACCAGTGTTGTGTGTGCACAGACCCCAAATCTGGACTGAGTAAACAACAGCACCTTAGAGTAGTATAGCTCTTTATACCAAAGAAAGCACTTTCATGTAGAATGAAACTCTACTTCTCAGAAGACCAGATTAGGGAAACCAATGGCTAACACCCAGGGTCAACTGAGCACTTCACCAGGCTCCTCTCCAGGCTGCTGGGCCAGCTGTAGCTCACCAGGATTCTGGGGTGGTTTATCCCAATCCCGTTTAAGCTGGTTCTAGTTGATACCGTCATCCTGTGATTTGGTTAACTCATTTTCACTGATTAAATGAATGTGACAACATATTCTCTTTGAAAACTAAATAGGGGCTGGGGAGTAGCTCTGTGGCAGGCAACTTGCGTGGCCTGCATATGATCCTAGGTTTGCTCTCAAGCACCGCAAAGCAAAACACAAAACACAGAAAACAAAAAGCTCGCATTCTACCACTGAGCTCCAACCCTAGCCTAAATTCCTGCTTGTATAAAACAGACAGAGGGGAACTCTAAGCAGCGGATCTCATCCCTACATCAAAAGACTGGGAGCCAGTCGTGGTGCTGCAAGACTGTAATCCCAGTGCTCTGTGAGGCAGGAGAAATGCAAGTTGGAGTCCAGCCTGCGGCATTTGGTGACTTAGGAAGACCCCATCTTGAGATGAAAAATAAAAGTGCTGGAGATGTAGCTCAGTGCAAAGGCCCTTGATTCCATCCCCAGTGCTGGAAAAAGAAAGAATTGGCAGAAGAATGCTGGCATTCTTGCTGTAAATAGAAACCTCACTGCTAATGCACACTTCAGTAGTTTTTACTGTGTATTGAGTCAGATAAGAGCAGCACCCATACCCTAGCTCCTCTGCCATTTCAACGACCCGAGGGATAACACATGGCAGGTATTCTCACTCCAGTTCTGGGATGGACTCAGGCTCAGAATTCATCAGCCAGAACCTGGGCCCTAGGGCCTCCACCCAGGGTGTCTTCCTGGAGGATCACTAACCAAGTACCAAGTGTAACTGGAAAAAAGGAACAGATTCAGGGAGGCATTGCAACAGGCTTACTAAGAGAAGCCGATGTCTCTTTGTACAGATGCTCATTTAAGGTGGTTTAGCTGCTATTGCCTCGATTCATCTTAGCTTGTTTTGTTTTGTTTCTGAGATGGACTCTTGCTAGCTATGTTGTGTAGCGTGACTTCTGGGGTCAAGTGATCCTCCTACCTCAGCCTCCCACGTAGCCGGGATTACGAGGACGTGCCACCACACCCAGCCTCTAAGGGGCTTTGAAAAGCATTGCATAGTTATGTACAATACACGAGTTTGTAACGAGATGATCAGATGCTGAAACGCAAAAGAAATAATCCACAACACTGCAATCATGACAGATCTTTTCGTTCTTTCCTGTGCCTTCTCCCTAGTGTCTACCATACAGGTTTCATTGGCACATCGCCAGAAATAAAACAGGACGGTTTTATATCCTGATGTCATTAAAAGCCCCTCACGTCTGCCACAGTGTATGCAATGACCCAGGCCTCGGTCTGGGGTCAAGGAGGAGGCCGGAAGAGACAGTGGGACATGGGCACAGCTAGAGCCAGCCTTGGCCGCACATACCCACCAGGAACTGATCCACACATCCATCCCTGTGGATGTAGTGAAGTAGTGAGCCAAGCCGTCAAGGCGAGCGCAAATTCAGTGAAGAGGAACACCAACACTCATCCTTACAAGCAGCCAAGGCTGCTTGGGCAGGCAGGTGTGTCCTGACATTACCCATGCTTAACATTCTATCACATTAAAATACCTCATTCATCGCATACGATCCCTCCTTTTTAGTTTGATCTCATCAAACCAGAATGTATATATTGCATTACTCTAAGGCATGGTAATAAACCCGGCCATGCCTTCTTCTGGCTTCGAAGTGCAGACTTGAGCTGTGTGCCTGGGCATTCTGGTTCAGGGCCCTACAGCCTTTGGCTCTGGATCCTCCCCAGTCACCATGCCCTCTTTCTGCCAGCGTCACTCACGTTCAGCGCGTGGATGGGCTTGGTGACATTGAACTTGTCCATGGTCGATATGATGATGGAGGGTGTGGTCAGGAAGAAGAGCACCACGAAGAGGGTGAAGTTGATGCTGAGCCACTGCAGCCACCAGCGGAGGCCCTGGAGAGAGAGGTTCTTCCTGCAGAGGGGACATGGTCCAGAGGTTTCTGTCCACAGCACTAGCAGTTCTGTGGCTGAGGTGGTCAGGTCCGATCAGGCTGGCCAGAAGACTCTCCTAGGGCTCTGACCAGGGCTCCTGCAGGCTTCAGGAGGAAAGGCACATTCTCTGCACTGACCTGCCGCTACCACAAGGCCAACATGCAGGTCACAGCCGGAGCCCAGCACAGAGCCTCTGCACAGATGCCATGAGCAGCAAGCTGAACAGACAGCTCCACATGGCGTTTCCTGGACATCTGCAGTGCCGTGTGACTCACAACACCTTCCTCCCAATGGGCCTCGGTCTGGGGTCAAGGAGGAGGCAGGCAGAGACAGTGGGACATGGGCACAGCTAGAGCCAGCCTTGGCCGCACATTCCCACCAGGAACTGATCCACACATCCATCCCTGTGGATGTAGTGAAGTAGTGAGCCAAGCCGTCAAGGCGACGCAAATTCAGTGAAGAGGAACACCAACACTCATCCTTACAAGCAGCCAAGGCTGCTTGGGCAGGCAGGTGTGTCCTGACATTACCCATGCGCTGACACAGCTCACAGCACTGCCAGGGCCCCAGACTTCCCTGAGGCCATGCTGTCCAATACAGCAGCCACAGCACAGGGGGCCACCGAGCATGAAAGATGTGGCGGGTGGACCTACAAGTGGTGGAAGATTTGAAGACTAGATAGGAAAAGACGAATGTGGCTGGGGATGTCTTGGTGCTGAGCGACTGCCTGGCTCATGTTTCCTTCCCAAACGATCAAG